TGAGGTTGTGTGTGTGTGTGCGTGTGTGTGTGTGTGTGTGTGTGTGTGTGCGTGCGTGCGTGCGTACGTGCGTGTGTGTGTGTGTGTGTGTGTGCGCGCGCGCGTGTGTGTGTGTGCGCGCGCGTGTGTGTGTGTATGTGTGTGTGTATACGTGTGTACGTTCGCGTGCATGCGTGCACGTGCGCGTGTATGTGCCCTCACTTCTCGGTTTTTATACCTACCTCTCACAATCTATCTCTTACTATCTACTTCTTATTGCCTACCTCATACTACATATCTTTTATAACTTACTGTTACTTTTATTACTAACTGATACCTACTACTACTCTACTACTTACAACTACTCTACTACCTATTACTACCTATTACTACCTGGCTATTACTACCTACCTACATACTACCTTATTACTACATATTTCTTACTATCTATCACATACTACTACCTTACTACATATCTCTTATTACCTATCTCTTACTACTTCTACTTTACTACCTCCTTCTAACTACCTCCTTATAACTACCTATCTCTTACTACCTGACTCCTACCACTACCTTACTACCTATCTCTTACTACCTGACTCCTACCACTACATTACTACCTACCTCTTACTATCTGTTGCTACCTATCTGTTACTGCTAGGTTGATCCTCCGTATAGTGTGTGATGACAGCAGCGCTCTGTACAAGCTGAACTATCAGTTCGGTGCGTCCCTGCACGACACACGACACCTGCTCACCGTCGCCCGCCAGCTGAACCTTGACGTCATCGGGGTCAGGTAGGTGGCGCCATAGACGCGACGATAGGGTTAGCGTTAGGTTTGGGGTTAGTGATAGGGTTAGGGTTTGTGTTAGGGTTAGGGTTAGGGTATTGTTGTAGTATCGCATCACAGCCAAACTGCTAACAGTGATTATGAGTTGGTAGCCATATTTCCAGTCTTTATTTTCCACATCACTCCGCCTCCGCAGCTTCATCACCTATCCATATAGTACTGCCACATCTCCCTCACAATGGTAAGAAATTAGCAATATCACAAACATTAAAAAAATTACAAATAAGCATATGACATAAAAGCAATTAACATACAAGCAATTACAAAATACGAATCACATACCCGATACACTGTTCTTCTTCCTTCTTTTAACATAAACAGAATGTATACATAACCTTTTTATATAACTTCAATTATGTAACGGAGCGGGTTTCAGGCCTAGCTCATTAATTACTGTTAGTTTAGGCGTGACGCCGTGCGTGTCGCGTTGGCGACAAGCCAGCGGGAAATATACGAGATATTCGGTGCGCGCGATGCAGCGTGTGGGTATTCCCGGTAATAATGAAAGCAATAAGGTAACTAACGACGTCAACAGAGAGGCCGGAGTGCGGGATAATATATTATAACCCGCAGCCGGCGCACGTCGTGACCAGAGAGGTCGAACAACAAGTCCGGCTATGTTTAAGAGCGCCGCGACAGGGAGCAGGAGGCACTCCCTTTCCATTTGTTTGACTATCACCTATACGCTTTGTTGTACACACTCGTCTTTACGCTTCTGCTCTTTACTCACTGTTGCATTATGAACAATATAACTGTTTGTGTTACGTTACGTTATTAGTTCGTGTTTGCTTCTTGTCTTACGCTGTTGCTACTCATCACTCCTACGGCCTTTCTCCCCACACCCGTGAAGTACGAGGTTACAATTACATGTATTCATATATATATGTAAGCCTATATGTAATAAGTATGCAACCTGTACTACACCAACTTCTATTTAAGTCTATGTCAACATATATTTTCAACAATAACGGGCTGGTTTTGGACTGACACGTCCAGAACGTGTTCGATATACTTCTGTTTCATTACCCGCTGTGTGATCTGGCACCTTGTCTTGTTCTCTTCGATCTGTACTCTCTGTTTCATTTGGTTCTGCCAGGAAAGGCATCTGCGGAATGTCTCTCAAATGTACTCTATTTCACTTAAGTTGGGTGCCATTTGGTGTGGTGACAACATGAGACCGAGCCTGGGGTTCGTTACACACTTTTGTTATCTGTGCTGGAATCCATGTGTGGGATTCTTTGTCTAGAAATCGAACGTTTTGTCCTATGAGGAGTGGTCGGAGTTCTTGCTTGTTTCCCGCCGCATCATAATTCCTCCTCATTCATTTCCTACGCTGCTCCAAGAGTTCCTGGTTCCGTTGTCCCTTGTACGTTGTGTTGAAATCTAGGTTAGCTGGGAGTCGTGTTCGGACCTGCCGACCAAACAACATTTCGGCTGGGGAGGGAAGATGGGCGTCTATTGGAGTGCTTCTCAGATTCAGTAGAGCAGCTGCTGAGCTTTCCCCTGTTGCCTGTGTCTTTCTTATGATTCCTTTTACTGTTTGGACCATTCTCTCCACCAGACCATTCGACTGGGGGTATCGTGGTGAGGAAGTTGTGTGCGTTATTCCCCTATTCTTTGCACATCTGCTGAAACGCTGCACCAACAAACTGTGGGCCATTGTCTGACATC